GAGCTTTACGTGTTTTTCTGCAAGACATCAGTACTATTCATTTTTGTAGAGAAATTGTATGAACTCACAAGCAATTCTTTTTGCATTTTAGTTTTAATACTTGAATATTAAAATTGAATTTGTAAAAGAAATATTTTAATCTACAATATCGTGTGCCAATAATATTAGCCACGTACAAGTTTCTTAGTGCGACATTGTTAAATTGTCGACAATTCTGGTTCCACAAAGTGTCCTTAAAGTGGTTCATATGTAACTATCAAATGCAATGAATGATTAAGAGCTACATTTATGGTGAATATTGTTTATTTAAAAAATCAAAGTTAAAATTCCATATTATAGTACCTAGTAGTATTTTTTTAAATAATTGTGTAGTAGAATTGCAGACAATGCTGGCATTTGATTTTGACATAAATTAGATTATGACAATTTTTTAAATCAACCTATACCGGTCTTTTGTTAGATTTTATTCTCTAAAGGCTTGAAAGAATTTACTACGATTTATTTTGGTATTTTGGTTAGCATTGAAAAGATCAAGGTAAGTTATCTCCTTACTACAGTTCTTTTTTTTTTTTTACATCATTAAGTTGTCATATTTATTATTCATACAGTTCATCAGTCAGTCAATAAATGAGACACACAGTTCTTACCATAATTATTATGAACGTGCTTTATCGCTATGCAAGGAATTAATCAGGACTCAAGTTCCAGACACAAAAAAAGTCAAAAGATAACTACTTATTAGCATAAACAGCACACAGGTATCTGACATGTATGTATGTATAAACAAATACAATAAAAAAGAAGGAAACAAAAGAAAAGTCTTCTTCGAAAGGGTGTAAAACTATTTCCATGAATTAAATGAAGTTAGAAGGTTGGCCGACCAGCATTTGACTCAATTACCAGAGCGACGACAAAAATGCATCCTAAAATCGAGCCCGCAAACTATCCGCGGCGAATAATGTGATTTGCATATATTACTGAAGTCAGTTGCAACGCTGTGGCATATTTTACTCGTCCGTTCCCCTCGAAAAGTGCGACGGGCTTATTTTCCTTAAATTTAACGCCATCCCTTCACGGATAAAAATAACTCGGGTTTTGAGAAGAGAGCTAAATTCGTTATTGAAATTAAGGGTGAAATTGCGTCAAGTAGCATTGTTGCGAGTAATTGTGCAATTTCATTGAAATGCTAATAACTCTAGTCTTATGCAGCGTAATCACAGTGGGGTGATATTCATTATACCAATCGACTATCAATAGTTCAAGAACTAATAAGGAATATGAGATTTAGTGCTTACAAGTACCAGGACTCTTACAAATCTGGAAATTTTTTTTTTTTTTTTTTTCCAGAATTCCAGGGGTTTAATATAAAAATTTTCCAGAAATTTTATTGGAATGAAACAATTTGTATGGCGAATAATGATTAAAAAAATAATTTAAAGTAATTTAAAATAAATCCAACAAAAACCTAAGGAAATACATAAGCCAAAATAATTCCTTCTGTGCTTTATTCAATAATGTATAAGTACTCATTTCTAATAACATGAGAATTTAATGCCTTTATGAACCACCATTTTATGCACCAATTTATTTTTCAACATAAATTTAACATATTACACGCGTGACACGCGCGTGCACTTGCGCAAACCTCGTGATAGAGTAGAATATTTTAAACTGAGCTTATTTAGTAAATGGAGCAAGAAAATTAATGTTAGTTCATACTAGGTTCTCGCACCTGTTCGATTCCCTCCAATTTGTAAATTATAACACACACATATAGGCCGACAATTTCACTCAAAATGTCCCATCCCTCGTACCCTTCGCTGTTCGAAAGGATGGAAAGCAGAGGGGAAAATGAGCAATTTGCGGAAAGGAAATGAAGACACGTCGACGTCGTCTCGTTGCCGAAAATATCGCTCGCTCGCACACGACGATCTGAATAAATTAACGCGTCAACCACGTCTACCACTTCGTTAATCCGTCCACTATGTCTGCACAGATTTTGCAATTTATGCTTAAAATTTTGTGTTATTACATTCACGTTCAGTTTAATAATTTTTTATTCTTTATAGAACCTTTCTTGGGGTATTTCTTATGTTGTTAATTACAATAAATATTCTGCGAGGCATAAGTGTACAATTGGTTCTTACACTTGGATATTCATATTATTCGACGTCCCCTTTTTGGTGCTTGTATCTTATCATAAGGCAGATAAGATTATACACTAGCTCATCTACGGTTCTTTCATGGCTGTTTATAAGTATTTTAAACTTAAATAGTAAAATAAGTTTTAAAAAGATGTACACAAACAATAAAACTGCTGGTTTTTTTGTCTAAACATAAATTTAAAGACTTATCTGCTATGAAAATGTACTAAATGACATTACATGAGTAACACACAAGAAGGATAAACAATATTCATTTCCTGTACATCTATAATATTACTGTAATAAGATCTGTACGGAATGATTTTAAATTTTTCATGATTATTTTTTTACTTAGCCATAATTAATGAAGTTGTAAATAACTAATTTTCACCGGTTGGAGATGACGTTAAACAATAAAATATTAAAAAATCTACAAAATAATCGTACTCAAGTCTGGTTACAGCATAAGCCTTACGTCCGTTTTGGGAATTTTTTTCCATAATTTTTTTTTTTCATCAACTGGAGGTTATCCTAACTCAGCTTGCTTTGATGTGCTTAAAAAGCCATTTAAATAGCATAAATTTTCACAATTTTACTGGGGTATAAAATAATACTTTTTATTAATAGCAAAAAAATATTTCCCTCTATTTATGAAAAAGATTTTTTGTAAATCCAAAAAAATCCGATAAACAACGATCAAACAAGCTTCGACAGCAACTTTTTCACGCAATTTTCCATCGTCTNTTTAATAACAAAATTGCCTCTTACATAATGACCCGGGGTGCTTACATTAAAAAGTTTTAAATTGTCGCAACTTAGTTTTGTAGTGCATTAAATCGAAACTCAAATAACTTCATTCATAATCTGGCACAAGATTTCATACATAATTGTATAGTAAGCTAGAAAAAAGTAAAGTATCAAAAGTGATAAATGTAGTTAATCTTATGCGATGGTTCATATACAACCATAGCTGATTTTGAATGTTAAAAAAGAAAAAAACAACATTGAGAAACCGATATTGAAACATTCAGACATAAATTGCTCTTTACTTTAGTTCTAAATTCATTATATGAAATGTTACCGAGATGATTGTTATGCATGCCTACTTACACTAAGAATAAATCAAACAGAAACATAAGTATGCAATAACTACATGAATAAAACATTTAAGTTAAAGTTTTAAAAATAAACAAAATCGATCTTTGAAGAAGGCAATTTTCACACCTCAATAATTCACCGAGGAACACTCAACAAAATTCAAGATCGCGAAGTTTACATAACTTGCGAAATAAAGCGTAAAACAGCGACCTCGACCTTACCCGGTAGAGTCAGACTCCAAAAAGAGGCACGCCTGGCATTGCTTGCAAAGTACTGAATCGAATGCAACATTCAGTTACTTTAAAGAATAAAAAAAAAAAACAAAAAAAAACAAGAAGCTTCGAGCGGCGGAGGAAAAGCCTACCAGGAAGGCAATTGAAAGTAATAGCAGGCATCACGAGGCTTCTTCTATGGATTCAGGCAGCATCGCGTCATCTTCATAACGCGTCTCTAAGGAGAACGCTCCTAACCTCAAAAGCGCACGAAAAAAAACTTCACTTCTCCCAGAATCACTAACAATGCACACAAACATATATGTAAAAGAAAATCAAGCTTCTTACCTGGGTAGACAGAAAAATTCTTTCGGAACGGATTCAAAGTGATCGCACTTCAGAAAACTAACCTCCAAAGCCTGAGTGATAGAGCGCGGCACACACACCACGAGAAATTAAAAAAACAGAACGATACCCCTATACATGGGAGAGTGAAAAAGGGGGAGGGGGGGGGGAAACAGAACCACGTTATTCCGATGAGATAGAGGGAAGAACAGCGACGCGAGGGGAACGCGCGGCGACGATCGATAGCTTAGCTAGCGCGGCATGCACATATATAATACATCACATACGCGGCACAGAACAGAACAATACACCTGCACTACTCCCATAGTGACCATATAGTCCCATACCTATAACTATATAACTACCAAGCTTTAGATATATACTGCCTATAGTTATATATACACACAATGTTAGCATACCTCCTCGAAGAAGACGACGTCGACGTAGATGACGAATCCGATAAGTACGAAACTTATTTGTTTGTACACCAGGTGTATTATACTACTATTCTCGTCCGAAAGCGTCACTGGGGTGACTGAGAGACGATGCGGTAATTGATGAGAAGTAGAAAAGGTGATCCTTTGGCTTTGTGAACTGTGAAAACGAACGCAGGAAAAAAATCACGGCGCACACGATACAATGGCGCGCTCGCGGCTTCTTCGGAATGGCTGGCTCGTTGGTACATGAGGTGCCGACCTTACCGGCTTACCGATTGAGTTGATGCGTGAGAGAATAACAAATAATGTGTGTCCCGTTGTTTATTAACTATTTATTTACACATAAATTTAAAAAACTCCATAATAGGGGTTGAGGGTAAAGTACCTTGTTAATGAATTTCTCAGTCACTATGTCTGTAATTAGCGTGAGAAATTTGATTGCTTAAAAACTTTTTTTTTGCTTAATGTGGTGACATCTGGTGTCTTATCTAAAAATTGAAAAAAACTGCCAAATTTTAAAGCGCAAAAATTCAATCGCTCATAAAAGTACTTAGAAAGGTGCGCATAAGCGCAGTAATTGATACGGAAATTTTTTTTCCAATTTACAGGTTTGTATGTTTATTTTGTCCCATTTTTTGTCATCACGGCATTGTTTGCAATCTTAAATTGAAAAGAATACAATTGTAGTTTAAAATCAACGTTAGTTTTTTTTAACAATAATTGCAGTGTTTGTTTTACGTATTTCGTCGAAACAGCGAAAAATGATGTCTGACACTATGTTCGACACTTTGATGGAAATCCGAAAAGTTAACAAGGAAATAACAGAACAGAAGGAGAAGCTGCAACAAAACCATAAAAAACTCATAGCTCTGGAAGAAAATATAAGTAACGTTAAGCAACTGCAGTTGAAAGCTCAATCAGTGCTTATTAATACAGAAATGAAATCAAAAGTCATTGACACTGAACTGAAAGAAATACACAAGTCATATGACAAACTTTTCGAATATTGGAATGAACATGTTAAAGTAGGGCAGGAGAATATTTCAAATGATACAACAAGAAATGTAGATATGCTAAGGAAACAGAGAGACGAGTTAAGGGAAAAAGTGGCTAAAGCTAAAGAAGCAAAGGAAGATGTGGCCAGGCAGTTAAATGACATTGAAATGCAGATCAACATACAGAAGGTATAAATTTTATTTATGATGCTATTAAAGTATTTTTTCATATTAAAAAGTATATACATTTGTTGTCTACATATTTTTGCAGAAGAAAAGTGCCGCAACGTTACTCAGGCTTCAAAAGAATTTAGAAGAATTACTGCAAGAGGAAACCAATCTAATAAATAAGTTACACTGAGCAGTTATTTTAAAAGTTTTTACAGTTTTGATTGTATCTTATAGTCAAGGTACATTGTCGTACAGTTTTTCGACACATTCTCGATTCAACTTTGCAGTGTTTTCAAGTTCAGATAACTTGAATGGCATATTCAACAATTGTTTCATGTGATCATGTATTCGTTGTATATTTTCTCTTTTTCTCGTTACCTTTTCAACCAGAACTTTATTTTCCGTTTTTAAACTAATTATATAAGATTCCAACTTTTCACACTCATTTTTTATTTTTTCCGCATCTAAGGATCTTAAATGAAGATTGACGTCTCCTGGCGGCCTCCTAAATTAAAAATTGATTTGGAAATTATATATTAAATTTATCGAATGACAAAAAGTAACATAGTACTTATTTTACCATAGTTTGATATCAGAGGGTACTGTAGTTTCTTCTGATAATTTTGACAAAGTTTTCATGCCTTCCACTAAACATTCATCAGTCACTATTTCTTGTAAATCTTGTTCCATAACTTCTAGTAAATCCTCTTCCATCACTTTATGTAGCTTTTTTACTAACGACTTTTTGGACTCCAACATTGTAAAAATGTTTAGAAACTCTTCTTCACTGCAATTATAAACAGTTAAAAATATCAAATATCATATAAATTTACTGTATCAAAACTCTCGTTGTGCAACTGTTTTTACCAATTACTTTTCTTACTTACTATTAAAACCATATAACTTTTTAATCATAATGGAAATACATGTGTGAACATTCACATTGATGAGTTTATAATTGACCAAGAAACAAGCCCTTGGATTTGACCCCTACTTAAAGGTAAATTAAATTTTCCTTTGTTCAAAATGCAAACATACAAAGACAAGTAGAATTATAATTAGTGTCGGCTCGAATCACTTTTGAATTTTTTTTGATCAACGGTTAAAATCAAAATATATTTTTTGAGAGAAATACTTAAAAAATGTACAACAAAAAAAAACCAAGTGTTGTGATGCATACCTTTGACCTGGATTTGAAAATAGTTGGAGCTTGTTGAGTATTATGTATCTAATCAGGCCGGGACGGGTGCAATTTGATTAAAATCTACAAATTTGCAGTCATCCAGACCTAGTCAAATACATTCGCCTTGGGTCATCGTTTTCTTGACGAAACTTTACTGTGTGCTGCTATTATTATTAAGTATTATTATTCGTAGTGGACATGCCAAAAAAATCATTTTCAATATTACGGGTTAAAAAGAAGTAGTAGAAGCTAAAGCTTTGGTAATAGAATAAAAAAGTAAGCAAAAGCACTACATCGTTTTAGTACACGAAGAAAAGACAATTTTCCTAATGACCACGTGTGTTGGCTCGAATAGTGTAATTATGCCACTTATTAAAGATTTGATGCACGTAATTTCAAAAACAAAACATTTAAAACACCTAAGAATAACGAGTCTCTTTGTCCCGACAACTCCGTCAACGACGATGGGGCTAGATAGAAAGAGAGAACAATGGGTCAAAGGACAAAGGACTGGTATAGTGTATATGGCATACACATACATGAACAATTGTTCGCCCCCTCTCTTCCAACCAAAAAATAAGAAAAATATATTGATATGTCAAGTATTTACAAATAATAACGATCACTTATAAATCAATATGAAACAAAGTAACAAATTGTCTCACCTCACGCATTTGGCAATGTCCTGGAAGCTGTTGGACAAAGCCGCCCTGAACATCAGCAAGTTGTTCGGTTCATTGGACATACCCTTCGAGGATGACGACGGGGACGACATGTCTGTACGTGCTTCTATGTACCTAAGTAAGTACTCTATAGTTAATCTAATCTGATCTAAGTAATTGCGAATTTCCAAACGGAATTAAACAAAGACGCCGGCTTGCACGCTGCACGCCGTTGTAGATACGTGTATGTTGTGTTTTTTTTTAAATCTCTATGTATGTGTGTGACTTGTAGGGGGGCGGGGCGGGGGCCGGGGGACTCTTTTCTCTTCTTTTTTACAGAGTACTTATATATATACCTGTATCCAATGTATCGATACATTCGATACACAGTCTGATCGGGGCATTCGATATCTCGCTTAAATAAGCAGTTTTTTCGATAATCCCTATTCGCTCCGAGCCGATGCAGAGGTTGCGCCCCCTCTAGCCAAAATCAGGCAACATTTCTTGCATGTAAACAAACGGTTTAGAACATATATACATGCGTATAGCTGCTTGTGATTGGCACTTGGCAAGCTAGAGAGAGAACGACGATCCTCTCCTGCTGTCTTATTCAGCCAATCACAAGCAGCTATACGCATGTATTTATGTTCTAAACCGTTTGTTTACATGCAAAAAATGTTGCCTGATTTTGGCTAGAGGGGGCGCAACCTCTGCATCGGCTCGGAGCGAATAAAATAACCAAAAATAACGATAATGCGCATGCGTAGTTTAGGGGTTATGGTTTATGGTTATCGAAAAAACTGCTTACTTGAGCGAGATATCGAATGCCCCGATGCGGGGGTCATTTTCTGCATTCGCGAGAGTCGCGGGCCTAATAACTTTGTAAGTATAAGTAAACACAAAGCGATCGAGTTTGGTATTGACCGTTACATGTACACTAAAACTTGACGAAAATGGCATATTACTTCAGTAGTACTACATCATGAAATGGCACTTCGCCCTTCACACCCTTCGCTGATATCACATCCATCGATCCATCACTCTCGAACTCGATTGCGTGTGTCGACTGATATCGAAGCATGTTGTATCGAAAAAGTAAATCGACCCCCGCAATGGCGGACCTGGTTTTTTTCCGACGCTCTCGGGCACCGGTGGTGAGTTGGGGGTGGGAAAGTTTTAAAAAGTTTCCGTATCACTCACTTTGGAATTTAACAACTAAGTATAAGTATACATATATGTTCTTCGTAATCGGCTAATCAAAATTTTGGCATGTTAGATTTTTATTTTTTAAACTCAAAGCTAACGTTGTCATCGTATACGATTGTCGTAAAACAAAATGTTGAGGTGAGCGGGATTACTGTGCAATTGAGGTGCTCATTTAAATGATGACAGGCATCGAAATGTAAGTATGATAGTTTTTTTTCACTGACTTCCTGTTTTGTTATTAACATTATTTATTCCCCTTACAGATTATGGTGTTCAGGTTATGTTTGTTCGTTGAATTTTATATTTTACTTGAAGATTCGTCTGTTACACATGCGTCTGCATGTCTAGCGCGCGTCTAGACGAGATCAAGAGAGGATTTTATTCCTGTATTGGCGGGTAGAAGGTCAGTTTGATAAGGTAAGATTGTTTTTTTTTAACAAGTAAAATTCCATATATTGATTAAATGAAAAATTTTATTAAGTACATAAGGTTAAAATGTATGTATTTGGTATCGTAAAAATTCATAAGCTCAACAAGAAAGTACCTTGATAGATAACCGCTGATTAGGACCTTTAATACTTGTTTTAACCAACATAAATATACTGTGTACTTAACATCTTTGGAGCTTGTAGATGAAGTGAAACAAAAAGCTTACAAATTCTAAAAATTTACTTCGAAGCAGAGACTCTATGTCTAGTAGTTGTAAAAATTTAGGTATTAAGTTCTCTTTTGTTACCATATTAATTAGATACTTATGGATGAAAAAAACTATATATATATATATATTTATGTATATAAAAGTTTAACTTAGAATAGGTTGTACACGTTGTTTAGTGTTAACAATAGTTACATGGGAAATTATCTATTAAGCGTAAGTATGTATTGACTCAACGATTCATTACAATATTCACAGCCAAATCGTTTCATAGTTGTTTTTAACTTATCATTCAGTAATTTAACAGTGTGAGTTATGGTAAGTCCTAGGAAATTAATCCAATCACTCCTTTTTCCCATTTGAATATCATCATTCATCGTAATATATTCAATTTTAGTGATAATTAAACTCAGTAGGTATTGCACTTTTTCTGTCATCATCTTATGAAAAGTATCTATTAATATTCTTAAATAAAAGTTGAACCAAAGTAAAGTGAGAAAGTACAATTTAAGAATCAACTAATGAAACGACATCGCTCATAATTCAAAGAGCAAACAATTCCAAACTCACGTCCAAACAGCACAACTGTCAAGCTAACACTATAGTTACAACGATAAATACTTGAATTGTATCACAAAAAAATAAAAATATTAGAAAAATATACTGACAAAGGCACAGTGCGTTTGATTATAAACTATATATAAAAGTATATATGTATCGTCGGAGAAACACCACAAAAACTTCCGACACTCATCATAGAAGTTAATTAAATGATCGACAAGCAAAGCTCAGATCTAATGAGACTTATTAGCAGCTCTGGCGAACAGCAAAAACAACTGTTCCAATGTTGAAGATAACACGCAGAAATCTTCAATGCTATCGTACTTGTGCTTCACTGCTCTCATCGCGTCGTACATCTTCCTCCATTTTGTTGCTGTGGATGAAACGTGATACATCAGGTATCCCTGTAAAAAAAAAAAAAAAAAAAATTATAATCATACGTCGATGCACATGTAATGTTCATTTAATTTTTCAAGACCCTCTGCCCTCACCGAATTATCATCAACCAGCTGGCACTGTAGCAATGCCTCGACGTCCCTCTTGATTTGCTCAACTTGAGCTACAGCTTTTTCAGGATTCAGCTTTATCTGGATGTCATAGCCGGCCCCGAAACGTTGCTTCAGCTCCTCGGACGGACCTATGCACACCAATTTACCGTCCACCATGATGGCAAGTCTACCGCAGAGAGCCTCGCACTCTTCCATACTGCAATGAGTACATTGCGTTGATTTCATAGGGTACACTTTGTTGGAAAACGTCAAGTTTACCTGTGCGACGTAAGTATCACAGCTTGGCCAGTGGTCGCTTGGGCCGACTTGATAACGTTCCAAAGAGATCTCCTGGCAGCAGGATCGACGCCAGTGGTTGGCTCGTCGAGCAGTACCAGCTCCGGCAGGCCGATCATCGAAATCGCGATGTTGAGTCGACGTTTGTTGCCGCCGCTGTAAGTGCCGCTGGGGTTGCGAGCACAAGCCCTTAGATCTGTTTGGTTAAAATATCGCTTAGTCGTTGAAATAGGGGATAAAGGTGCTTTGGACTTACTTAGTCGTCTGATCCATTTTTTCGTTTCCTTGATGACCTCGTGCTCGGGAATACCCCTGAGACGGGCGAACAGTCGCAGGTGGTCGTAGGTGTTCAGGCTCCTGACGATGGCGTCGTTTTGGGGACAATAGCCCATTTGCGAGAGATTCTGTGATTTCAATCAACATTAGTATTGGGCTCTTGTGCGAGATACACATTTTTTTTTTTTTTTTACCAATTAGGAAACAACCAGGATCTCTTTAGTCGGGGTTTCACATCTAAAATGTGAAATCAAACTGATAAAAATAAAAATTGTTCTCTATGTACTCAGTCTACTTACACGACGTAATGAAGTTACATTGTGTATAAGAAGAAACGCATGGATAAATTGGGCAAAATAAGTAGTAATTTGAAAAAGTTTGCGTTCCATGGTCCCAAGATTTTTCCAATTCATCTCGCCCAGTCGTACTTCAGTCGCGCTATTAAACTCACCTGGGTGCCGGTCAACTTTCTATCGCTCAGGAACATCATGCCGCTGTGCGGTATCTCCTCGCCAGTCATCATCCTGAAAGTCGTGCTCTTGCCGGCTCCGTTGACGCCCAACAAACCAAAGCACTCGCCCTGCCTGACGCTGAAATTTACATCCTTGACGGCCACCAATCTGCCGTACTTCTTCCTCAGCCCGTACACGAGGAATATGTGCCTGTCCTGTACCACCCCGTTTTCCAAGCTGTTGATGCTGCAGCCGTTGGCAATCACCTGACCTACAAGCGGAACGTCATATACTTCAAAGATATCCACGAGAATTTACAAATTGTGCGTATGATAGGTTTCCTCACTCGATTTGGTCTTCAAGTGGTCGATTTCGTCCGACAAGTCGCGCTTCACTTTCTTCACCTGCTCATCAGCGTCGTCATCCGGCGGTGGCGCGTCCCCGAGTATTCTCGCGACTAACTTTTGTATCAGTTTGCCCTCCAGGACCCACAGGAGAACCGAGTACAAGACAAACGTCGCGCCCAAGCTGACCAAGCCACCTTCCAGAGAGAAATCGTCCTTGAAGCCGTTGAAGAAACTCCTGGGATTCTCGCATCTCCCGTTGCTGCAACCCATTTCTAAAAGGACGATCATATATGTATGAACACGTTGTTCTTGGGGTTGAGAAAAATACACGTATCTTACCGCAGCATTCGGAATACAATGGCAAGCTGCACAATTTCTTCGCATCGAACACGAGTGACAACTGCGGACACAGGACGTTGGCCCTGGCCGTTTGAAAAAAGGAGATTTCCGCGTGGAAGAAGCCGATGTAGGGTGTCAGCAAAACTGCGATCTTTTCGATTTGACGGATGATTTTTAGGGTATGAGCTTCAGGGAACAAGTAAACGAGGATCATCATGACTCCCTCGAGGATGACTGCAAAGATATAATTGTCATACTTTGAGCGGAGCATTGATCGTCACAATAGATGAATCGTAATAATATTACCTAGACCTACTGGTATCAGCGTAAGGGTTTTCATAGCGGTGCTCACGGTGCTCAACCAAAAGGTAAAACAGTAGATGCACGGGAGGACGCTTAGTGAAAACAGGCAGATGATAGCGCCAAAGATCACTGAAAGATAAACAGAGACCGAGTTTTTTTTTTTTTTTTTTTTTTTACTCATTGTACGATATTTTCAACGGAATGAGCAAAATAACACTTACGTATCTCCTTTGCCTTCATCATTTGGAGACCGACGACTCGATCTATGACGATGAATCCAATTATAATGACGAGCGACAAAAACACCATCACCGCGAGGTCAAAGAGTAGCATAGTCCCCCAGTAATTGAAAGCCGATAACCCGGTCATTTTCTGCAGGTGCTTGATATTTGTCGAGTTCTCGAGTAGAGGGTGAATGACCAGTAGGGCAACGGCCAAGAACAAGAAGATGGCAAGGATCGTCGGCACCGCGTAGGTAACAACGTTGTCGACCATCCCCTTCTTGGTTATATCATCAATGTCGTTTTCTTTGTGGGGCAAAGCCTGGGCGCTCATCTCTATGCTGTACTCCGGACCCTTCAGAGCCCTCAGTATGCTGTTTGTCAGAAGGTTCATGGATATCGGTTTGGCAAAACTGGCGATCTCGTCGTTGTATATGGCCTCGGCCTTGCCCGGATTCCCGAAATCGACCGACGATATCATGCGAGTCTTGTAAACCCTGCGGTTCTGATAACCGTAGTCCAACAGCTCTGTTTCAAGTGAGAATCGATTAGAACGATTTACATGTTGTGCGAGGAGCTATTTGATCGATTGATTACCTTGAGTTAGGTTGCCGGTTTCTGGAACTTCAACGGCTTCGCCGCCGTAGTGTTCTACCGTGGTCTTGTAGCTTTTGACGATTTCGGCGTTCTTATTGCTGTAGAATATCTTTGGGTTGTCGTAGATGTCGAGTCGCACGTCCATCGGAGTAGAATTGACGGGAAATTTGAACGAAAAAATCATGTGATTGATAAACATTGCCAATAGGATCTGAAAACGGTGATTGTTAAATCTTTGCACTTTACATTAGTAGCCATTCGTGTACTATCAAAAATATGTCAGTACCAGTGCTAACATTAGCGTGAAGGTCGTTGCGTTTTTCCAGGTGTAAGTTGCTTTTTTGTACAACAGTCCTTTTGCAGCGTGTAGAGAGTGCTGTAGGCCTTTTAATTTTTGGGAGGCGCAAATGAGCGGCTCTCGATCGTCAACTTCGTCTTCGTTGTCCTTTGCAATTCTACAATTGAAACAAAATGACGAATCGAATGACTTGGATGATTGTGTTAAATTATGGTGATTACTATTTGACAACCACGTACCTCAAGAATACTTGTTCCAAGGTGATCAATGAGACGCTCATACCCGTGATTCCGAGATGTCTCTTGTTGCTCTCTGTCCTGTCCAAAGCATCTGGTAGTTCGGGAGTATACGGGACACTTATAACATTTTTATTACCATCTGAGTTGAGGATTTTACTTCGAGAACCCAAGTAAGTGCGAATGCTTTCGGGGTTGCACCAGGGTTCCGTGGACAATGTTATCTCCACGTTTCCGCCACCTGTAATGGATAAATGACCAAATTCAAATGGTTTGATTCACGGGAAGATGAGTTTTTGGGTCTTTTTCTATTTACCTAGATGCTTTTTCAGGAACATCGAAGTACCGTAGCTTCTCAGTCTACCGCCGTGTACGATGGCAATTCTGTCACCGAGAATGTCGGCTTCTTCCATGTCGTGAGTACTTATTAAAATTGTCTTTTGTCCTCTAGTTTTCTGTTTGCAAAAATCAATTTTATTCGTTTGATTGTAAATTAAAAAAAAATGTATGGTCGCTATAAAAAGTTTACCAATAAAATGTCCCAAATGCTACGTCTAACTTCTGGATCCAATCCAGATGTTGGTTCGTCCAAGATTAATATCTGCACGATAAAAAGATTAATTAACATTTTTTTTGTGGTCCAGTTGCTCATTAAAAAAAGAAAAACTAATTTACAGCAAACAAACTTACGCTTGGATCTCCTGCAAGAGCCATTCCAAGACACACTCTTCGTTTTTGCCCTCCAGATAATTTTTGGGGCATAACGTTTCGTTTTTCGTGCAATTTCAACTTTTGAAGCAATAGCTCTATATTATGCTCAATCACTGTATTCGGACTGTTTTTATTTTTTAACTAAGTAAAAGTAAATAATTGAAGTGTCATTAAAAATGGCATGTTTTGCGAGTCCATAAAAGCGTCACTTACCCTAGCAAACAGCTTGAATTGTTCATAAACGGTTAAATTTGGAAAAACAATATTTTCCTGGGGACACAGTCCCATTTCGTTCAATACTTCGTCCATGTTGTTTTCAATATTTTTTCCGTTGATGATAACCGTGCCTTGAGTTGGACTATTCATTCCTATCGAACGCGATCAATTGAACAATTAAGATGGCAATTACTGTTATTAAACGATACGTTAATTCAAAGATCTAAGAATGATACCTGTCAAAATTGACATCATCGTTGTTTTTCCAGCACCATTATGGCCAAGTAACGAGGTGATTTGTCCCTGATAAAAGTCGATACTGATACCTTTGAGGGCATGTACTTGCTAAAATGATAATGATGTTATTGCCAAGGCAATTTTTTTTTGAAGCTGTCCAATAATGTTCAATCGATTTACCGCATCACCGCATAAGCCGACATTGTACGTTTTTCTCAGATTTCGAAGTTGAATTCCAGGAGTGAAGGCTCCACTTGGTACAGTTTCAAATGGTTCATCCGCTTTGACGTCTGACTCAAAATTGTCTACCTTACCATAGTCATTTGGATTGTTGGATCTTTCAAAAAACTGAAATAGACCATAATAATCGAACAGTTAAGAGTCACTGGAACAACAAATTAATAGTGTGTTTGCAACTTGGCTACCTCCAAAAAATAGAGTGGATGCTTTTTGGCGCCGTATTTACCAGGATTTACAGCACAAACGTAATTAGCCAATACGAAATGAAAAATGGCACCAATTATGGAGAAAATCATTATCACTCCCAAGCTTCCTGCAGTTCCGTATGCAACATCGTCGACTACAAACAAGTTGCTCCATCGAATTCCAATTCCTGAAATCATAGATGCAACAAACTTTGATTCGCATTCAAATTTTTCGCTGCAGTCTCGGATAAAATTGTCGGATATTATTCCTACCACTTGCAATCTGATAGTAAGATATTTCTCTGAAAGCTCGGATGAGCAGTATGTTTGGAAATATTATTCCCAGGTAAGGCACCAGTGAGTGAGCTTGCAAGTAAGCCTCGCTGTAAATACTTGAAATTACGTAGAGCACCAACAATCCAATGGTCAAGAATTTAGCTGTAAAACCAATACGAATGAAAATCCTCGCCAACGATCATCTACAGGATTTTTAAAAACACGAAAAATTGACTGCTTACATCTTGTGAAGTATGCAGAAATGTGCATGCCGTATGTAAACAAGTGAGCCGCATGTAAGGTAAGTATCAACCAAAATATGAATGAATTCCCATCGTACAAAAGAGGAGTCTTTCCTTCAAACCATATATTTGACAGTATAACGATGGGAACAGTGTAAAGTAAACTGAAAATTAGTCCGCTCAAGAGCCAACTCAATAGGTTCAAATAATTAGGCACTCCATTCATAGCCATCAAAACCTGAAATTAAATTTTTTCGATAAATTTTCCATCCTTATACATTTTCCCATACCAAGATCTACTTACATTGACTCCGAGAAATTTTTCTTCCGATGCTTTTGAAGTTTCGAAGCACAATTGTATGAAGAATACAATACTGGCCGAGAAAGCAACTGCTATACCCAGGTAGACAACAAGATCCCCACCTTGTTCCGCTTCACCAGGTTTGACCATTTTTCTCATGGAAAACTGTAACACGTGAATAATTAAATATGCATACGTATAGTATTAATAGACATGGTATCGATTGATTCATTTTTTATACACCCACTTCCATATTTAGTTTCTCTGTGTTGTTGAAGTTGATGAAAGTAGTGTCCAAACACATCTGCAGTCCAATCTGTTTGTCAAATGTAAACATATGATTGAAGTAGCCTTCGTAAGCCGCACTGGGAAGACTTTCATCGGAATATATTTTATATTTCCAGCGTTTCGTCAAAGAATTCGTATTTTCGTTGAAAACTATGGCTTTGTAGATTTCCTCAAAGTTCACCGGCATGTTTTTATACGCATCCAACATATCCCTTTCCGTTGCAAATTTCGTTACATCTGAGGTAAAGAAAATTGTGTCATCTATACAGTTTTCGCGGTACAAAAGATTGCTCAGTAGCAAAAGTCGAATTAAACTTACTGCTTTCTTTTTGCATCCCAAGGCACTCCTTCACGCTGTCAATTAAAGAATCTACAAACGTATTGTCCGGCACAACAAACAAGTTTATGAGACGATTGGGCTCCTTCAATTGTTCCTCCGTTACTGGATTGTAACTTTTGTTTTGCACAGTTTCACCGGGAGCTATTTGCTGGATGGTTCGCATCGCCTTCAAAGAGTAGAATATCCAGCACGGGATCAGAATCTGTAGGACGATGGCTGATATCCATTGTCTCCTGCGTACCAAATAATTTTTGTACAGCAATAGCCGCAATTTCTTCAAAGTCGTTGCCATTGTTATTCCTGACAGTACTGACGCATGTACAATTTACTCTAAAATATTCCGGCTGCAAAAAAAAAATGGTTCGATGACATCAACTTCATATCAAATACTCAGAAACACGTAATGTTTGTATCTATGTGCGTGTATATTTATATTTTACTGATAGCTGTCTCCTGTGACTCATTTACAGTAATTACGCTTAGGTCGATAAGCCGTATCATACTTTAAGGAAAAAAAAAGGAAGCACAATGCTTATTTTTGTTTTGCCAACGATTCTTTTCGACAATCGGAAAGTAATACTTGCCAGAAACAATTTTTTTACGCTCGTATTATTTTTAGAAGCGTACCATTGAAAATTTGAATATTATTTTTCAAAAGTGAAAAAGAAAAAAATATTAAAAAACAAGGGAACGGAGTACAGCAGCAGCAGTAGAGAATCGTTGAAAGTATGACAAAATATTATATTCACCATGAACTGAATGAGTAACGGAAGGACAATTGAGCTTTGACATTTCTGGTGACGTTAGCACTTTGACTCGGAGACACGATTAAAGTATACGAAAAAACAGTCGACACTCCCTGCCATTGGCAGTGTAGGGTGTTCCTGCTGATGCACCGTCTTCACAACACAACACTAGACTCTCGAGCTCTGTCAAGGCGATATACAATATACTATAGGCTTACCAAGCGCATTTCGGAGTCCGATCGTAATTTTAGACCTATGCATGTATATCTATACTCTACGCTCGGTGCTGCTATAAAAGCTAGTATATGTTGTGTTGTGCCGTTGTGTGGTGGGAGCTATATGATATACGTACATGCATGTGCGCCGAACAGGGATACCAATCTACGAACTATATGCTTTCGTAGTCGAATCGAAGCGAGGAAAATATTTTTTTTAGTTTTTTTTTTTTTATTTATAAAAATTAAGATTTTTCCAAAAGTACGTTAACAACGCTTTATAATAAACATTTTAATTGAATCCGCTGATCAACGATATTTTTTAACGAGTAGTTGCTCTTATCAGTATTTATAATATTAATCAAATGACTTATTTTGTACCTGTAACGAGAATTTTTGAAAATTTTTTTAACATGTAATATCGTATAAAATGATCAAATTAGAAAAAACAACTCCTTAGTTCAAGTTTCCTCTGTATAGAAGATATATACACAATTTTAAAAAAAAAGTACAAGTGTGTAGCCCTTGGAAAAACAAAAAAAAAAAACTTTATTAAAAAAAAAAATCAATTTACGACTTGTTGCATTAAAAAACTATGACAACAATAAACGATCTTTTTTTTTTGACATTCAATTTTAAGGCTTTGGTAATGTTTTGTACAAAGGTCTGCTGGAGCTTGAATTTCAGCGTTTACTCACTTAAACCAACGATAGACATTTTACCCAAATTTACGTAAAATTGTACACATACCGGTAAGCCAACAATGATATAGTATCCTATCCGTATAAATCACAAAACCCCGTCGATGACGTTATTTTTATACTGCAAAAACATGTGCACACACTTTATAAAATCCAAGATTTGAATTTGTTTTGAAAATATTTATGAACAACTCACTTAGTCAGGAAAGAAAAATACATTTTGTCATTTACGTAAGTGTGCGCTTATCATCGTCCAGTCTCTCTGACGTTATGTTGTGATACATCTCAATATGTAATGTATAGAGTATATAAATACATATATTCAATCACACCAGATACCCAACGATTAGAATCAAACGCAAATATTGATATCTTATATTTCTGCGAATACCATGATGTGAACGAAGATTAAAGGGGTCTTGGTGATTCAAATATATATACACCCACGAGGACACGTGTACGCTCGTGAGCCGTGAATATTGATCAGCCATAAATGTGTTGTGACGAGGATAGTTGATCCGAAGTATGTTTATTCCAGAGGTAAAGTGAAAGCGGGACAACTTTTACGCGAGCTTAGCATAATATATAGAACAATTATGTGTTTCGAGCCATTTTTTAACAAGCATCGGTTTTCTTGATCAAAAGTTGAAGCTGTAAATCACCGTAATTTTAAACCATTTTTCCCTGCCAATTCATTACATACTAAATCATTTCTATATTCATTAACTTTGTAAATGTGTATAGTAAATAATTTATTTTATTTTTAATAGTATAATAACTACTGTTTAACAATATAATACGTGAGATATCGTTTCAAGTCTATAAATTTTATAAAAATCGAATAAATCTCTAGAGTGCGTTATGGGATTTAAGCTGTAGTTAAATATTGTAGCATATTTAAATGATTAAGGATTCCCTAAATTTGTACAGTGCATACTACTTTTCTGGCGAGATTATACGTATCGATAATTTAGTATTGGTACTTATTGATTTTTTTAAAATATTAATTTTAAAACAATTAGATTCTTCTCCTGGTAAAACATTTTATAATTTTTTCTTTTTACTTATATAATAATTGAAAGGCAGATGATAGCGCCAAAGATCA